CAACAAATCCGAAGTTCATTTTGAATAGTTCTTGCTTGGCCACTAGTTATGTCCAAAAGCAATGGGGGACCTCTCACTGTTACGAGATGTTTCTCGTGATTCCTGTTGGGCTCCAATGGTTTTATTTAGCATGGAATTTTATCTTGAAATTGAAGGTTTGCGACGTGGACTGCGATCGAGAGGTTTGAGTGGGTTATGGGTTGTAGTGTTTGATTTCTGAAGAGATTTTTTTAAAATATATTATATTAATATATTTTTTTAATTTTTTTTAATATATATATATATTAATTTTAAAATAAAAAAATTAAAATTTAATTAAACAACCTTGGGAACTCGCTCTAAATTCATGTATTGCTCCTGTAAGCTGGTTGCTGTCTACTCTCCATGCTTAAGACTACAATCTATTCATTTCTCGCTCGCATCCTGACGCGAGAAATCCAGTTGAGTCTGTTGCTTTTGGTGAACTTGACTTGCTTTGATTATTTATTGGAAAATATAAATATATATTTTTTGGAAAATAGTTTCCATAAAAATTGTTTTTTTTTTCAATATTTGATAGTTTTATGAAAAATATTTTTTTGTGAAAATAGATTATTTTTCAATGTTTAATGAAAAATGAGTTTGAAATCATTTTCTAGTTTTTTGGATATATTAAAAAAATTGAAAAATAATAATATTAAGTTATTAACCCTTTTAAAATACTAAAATTTTTATTTTTGTCTACAGTTTTTGATTTTTGGAGAATGTTGATAATAATTTTTTTTTTCTCTATGGTATCCTAATTTTATAACATAATTCATATTATTTAAAATATATAATATAACATGTTTTGTATTCAAATGTGTTTTCTAGCAATATTATCTAAATTAAAATACTATAAGCACTAATATATCAAATTAATATATTTTTTCTTTATTTAAAGGTTTTTTTTTTTTTACTAGAAAGTGAATCTCCCGGACATATTTTCAACGGTATAGCTCCAAACAGGAAAAAACCAGTGAAAAAAAAACTTTCTAACAAACAAACAAACAATTCCAGACATCCAAATGCAATGGTGCTGGAATTGTGGACAGTGTAAGCTCCATCACCTAACCCTTCATTGCTGCAAAAGAAGGGAGAATAGAGCTGACAGTGACATAGTAAAAGATTAAATGTTCTATGAGGAAGCCCTAACTTTCATGTGCCGCTATTACTGTGGTCCTCCAAGACAATCTACAGGATTTCCTTTCGGCGATTCCTCACTTTCCATACAATGTCGAGGCGGGCAGCTCCCGACGCTTCATTTATTATTTTCTCCTACTTCTATGTAACTTTGACCGCAGTCACATGGCTGCAGGTCATGTAATACTTGGGGAAGAAGGGAGCTACATTCTGATATAGAGCTTTCTGCAAATGCTGTACAATCACTGAACTAGCAAATTCCCCACAAACGATAAGTAATCTTTACCATGTATAATCAAGTCCTCTGCTTCATCAGGCAATGCCTTGTCTTCTCCGAGTTCTAGGTTTTAGGAATTCTTTTGCAAACTCATGAACTCCATGATGTATAAATTTAGTAGAGTTAGAATTATTTTGCATGAACTTTACCACCTTATCAGAGATAAAAAGACATGTCTTTTCTCTACTGCCTCCGGTGTATTATGGTATCAGAAAGTACAAGAAAGCATCTTAACTCGATAATGGCACGGCTCCTACCCAGGCGATCTCTACTTTTTTGAGCTTTAGAAAAGCAACTTCTCTTAAATTCCCCCGTCTCTTGTCAATTTGTTGAATGGCGAGCAAACAGAGTCTCTCTCTACCTCAAACCTGTCATTTTGAACTACCGAGCATGCTTCAATCCTCTCTTTTTTTGGTAACAAAGTATAATTCAATTCTAGATCTTTCTGAAATTACAAGTGTGCAATTTGTGTTCACAATTTACAATAGATCACAGACTTCCTGTCACCAGTAATCTTTACAGGAGCAATGTCCATCCGTGAATCTATGAAATCTATAATTATCCCTAATAACTATTACTCTATCATAGGCCCGGGATATGAGTTTCATAACTGAGTGACAATCTCTACACATTCGAACACTATTCACAACCCGGATTGGAGAGTTTTCTTGGTTGTTTATAAGACCAAATGCGACGGCCAATCTTTCGCTATGTTGAGATGTGGTATCTGATAGTTCCTGTTTCACGAGTAATCTTCTCTCCATGTCTTGTAACATGCAGCGAACGTCTGCAGATACAAGGTTTGAGGCGACAAATTCATGAACAACTCCATTTTGTTCTATGATAGCGAAACCTGGTTGCTTCGGTACTCCTGTCTCATGTAGCTTTGTTCTCACCTTGCTCACATCATCCCATCTGCCTGCATCTGCATATATGTTCGAAAGAAGTACATGAGCACCATCATTTGTAGGGTCTTTCTCTATGAGCTGTTTAAATGCATGCTCTGCTAATTCCACATTGCGGTGACTTCTGCATGCCCTCATTAAGGAACTCCATATAGAGACATCTGGTTCTATTGGCATTCTTTCAATGAACTTGACTGTTTCTTCCAAGTGTCCACCTCGACCCAGGAGATCAACCATACAGCCATAATGATGAATCGTTGGAATGATATTATAGAAATTTCTCAATTTGTTGAAATATTTGTAGCCTTCATCGACTAAACCTCCATGGCTACAAGCAGCTAGAAGAGCTATGAAAGTGACATGATCTGGTTTTACTCCTCTTTCCTCCATTTCCAAGTATAGATCTATTGCTTCCAGGGCTTGCCCCTCCATGGCATATGCTGCCATCATTGCAGTCCAAACAAAAACGTTCTTCTCAATTATTTGAGTAAAGATCTCATAGGCCATTTCAACACACCCACATTTCCCATACATGTCAATCAAGGCAGTTCCCAACATAGCATCTATACCAATTTCATTCTTCTCTATGTACACATTAACCCAGATGCCATGATTCAGGGCTCCAACTTTAGCACAAGATGAAAGCAAACTGATCAAAGTTGTCTTGTCAGGTTTTACATTTGAACTCTGCATCTTGCAGAAAATCTCAAATGATTCATTAACCAGATCATGTTTTACATAAGAATTGACCATAGTGTTCCAAGAAACTATATCCTTCTCTGGAATCTTATTGAAGAAGTCTCTTGCCTTGTCAACACCTCCACTTCGGCAAAAGCCATCCAACATTGAATTCCATGATGCTGCACTTTTACAAGGCAACTGCTCAAATGTTCTGAGAGCTTCATCAAGTTTCCCACATTTTGCATACAAGTCCAACAGGGCATTCCCGAGAAACCCATCCACAATCATTCCATATGTCACGATAAAGGCATGGACAGATCTTCCTAAATCAAAGTCTTCTAAATGAACACAGGCTGAAAGTACTGTCACAAGAGCAACCTCATCCGGGATCACATTTTCAAACCTCATTTGTTGAAACAACTGTAAACTTTCACAATAATACCCACCTTGAACATAACCAGACATCATCGTGGTCCACGACACCAAGCTTCTCTCATTCATCTTGTCAAACAGTTGCCTAGCCTTATCTATCTTACTAGACTTCACATAACCACTAACCAAAGTAGTCCACAGAACAACATCAACCTCGGATTCATCACATCTACTCAAAAGACCATGCGCTTCGTCCATTTTCCCACACTTAGAATACATGTCTACTAAACAATTCAACAAACTCCCTCTAGTCCTTAGCTTATTATCAACGATGTAAAGATGCAATCTTTTTCCCATTTCCAAATCCTTCAATTTAGCACATGTTGAAACCAAGCTAACCATTGTTATCTCATCTGGTAAAACCCCACTAACCAACATTTCATCAAATAAATCCAACGCTTCCCTGTACATTCCCTTCAAAACATAACAAGAAATCATGGTATTCCAACTAATAACATCTCTGCGGGTCATTTTCTCAAACAGCTGGCATACTTCCTTCAATTTCCCACACTTCGAGTACAAACCCATCAAATTGTTGTTCAAAGACTTATTTCTTCCAAACCCATATTTCAAAATTCTCCCATGAACTTCACTTCCCAATTTAACATCGAAATTCTTACAACAAGCATGAATCAAGAAGTGAAAAGTGGAAATATCTAACAACACACCTTGGGTTACCATGTGATAATAACCCACCAAAACTTCTTGTGGACAGCCTTCTTTAAGCTTGTTTTCTAAAAGGGTATTCCAAATTATGGATTCTGGTTCATGGGAATGGCTTAAAATCTGACGCGCACAATCAAGATTATTGACAGAGAGTAAAGAGGCAAGAACTTGACTTGCTATTTCAGGGTCATGGATGAGATTTGCAGTGATCAAATGGGCATGAATTGGTGAAAATTCTCTAATATTTGAACAGCATTTTAACAAATCTATGATCCAATGTGGTCTTAAAACTGAGTGGGATGTTTTGGGATTTTGCGTTGGTAGCTTGTGTTTAGAGGGAGAGGGAGATGAGAAGATGATATTTGGAAAAGTAAGTGTGGCCATGGTTGGATGATAGCCGTTGCTTCCCTCCTTTTTCTTAACGATATTGTTGAGATTGGATTGTGCTATTGAATTTACAGTTACGGCCCATTTACGTGTGAAGCAAAGAGCACCAAGCCCATAATACTAGGTCCGGGCTCTCTCATAGTTACACTGGGCTCTGACGTTTAATTTGGTGTTGTTATTGTTATTATTATTATTATTTTATAAAGTGGTATCTTTAGCATCACGTGAATTTGAGACAGGATCTATTATTTTTAATTTCCAAGACTGCATGAATAAATAAATGGAAAAATCTTATTATATTCAAGAGATAACCCGTGACATCCTATAAATTATAACTAGATTTTATTAATTAATATATCATGCCAATTATACCATCTTTGTACCCTCCATTTAATTAACTATTAAGAAATCACTAATTTTATTCTCTCTTTCCTTCATGGACCCTCCCAATTTTTCCAAAAAAAACCACATCCGAACATGAGCTATGAGACGATGATATAGCGCGATGACGTGGCATGTTAGTTAATGAAACAAAACAGTAATTTACAGGATACCACATAACACATCTCTGTGAAAATGGCGTTGAAAATCACAGGCAAACCGCTTTCCATTTTCATGCAAGCTGGCAGCAGGAGATGATCACTGGAAACTATTTCAGCTGTACACACGATACTTTCAGGCGCAACACACACCAGCACAACAATCCCACACACAAGATAGCTGGAACTTTTCTGCACAACAATCTACTATCTGCTTGCTGCACCAAACCATGAAGATCTACAGCACCTTCCGACACGACATAACTGCGACCCTTTCATTTTCCCTATAAACATGTGCTAACAAAATACAAGGAAGAGGACACTTTATTCGCATGACCACCACCTTGACTGGTGGTTTCTTGAGTACGTCATTCAATTGGGGGAGGATAAAAGGAAGACAAAATGATCAGGAAAGCGAACGGGGAAAGAATAGCGAAAACACAAGCCCTCACAGGATCTCCAGATCCTTCCACATCCATGGATGTGTAATTTTATTGCTTTCAGCACACAAGTCTTCATCATCATCACCGTCGTTTGTTTTTCTTGCTGCGTTGTCCTTGCAGCCACTTCTCAGCTTCTTGTTTGACGAGTATTATAGGACTTGCAGTTCAAGCATTTCTGAGCTACTACATGGAATTGCACTTCTGAGGACTTTCCACAATCATTGCAAAGGATCCAAACCTGCAGAACAGTAGTATCACCAGTATAAGTATATTTAGCAAACAGTAAGCCGGGGAGTCACCTTAGGAAAATCTGACAATCAAAGCCTCAGATCTCAGCACATGATCATTTTAATGGGTTCTACTAACCATTTTATTCAGGTAAGGTTCTGGCATTGGTGTAGCTGCAATTTCCATGTCGAATTTCTCCCATACCTTAGACATGTCACAAACTGACTTCGAGCAAAGAGGGCAAGCATATCTGTAACAGTAACAAGTAAAAATATTGTGTGAATTTCCAAACGGTTAAAGAAACACACTAGATACCACTGGGAAAGGCTGCTGTAAGGAAACTCACTGATAATGATCCCTCATTTCCTTTAAGCAGCTCTCGTGAATGGTGTGTCCACATGGCAAGACAGTCACATCATATCTCGACTCAAATAAGAACTGCAAACCATTTGAAATACAGCATCAGTTAGGCTGCAGTCACTAAAGACTAAAAAAAAATTATTCTCGATCATAAGGAACAAACCATAACACAGAATGAAAGTTATAATCTATATCTAAACCTCAAAGCAGACAGGGCAGTCATGATGCATCGCCCCTTCTACACAGGGGTGGCTATTCTTCAGAAGATTCGAGTAGCAGCAGCCTTCATGGTTGATAGTACACCAAGAATACAGGAAAACATCATCAAGTTAGTTAAGTTGTAAGCACCCATACAATGCCAAACTAAAGTTAGTTAAGTTGTAAGCACCCATACAATTCCAAACTAAAACTGGAACTAGTAATGACAGGAGAATTGTAGCTTACCACATTTGTAACAATGGAAGAAATTCTCAGGTCCTCCAATTCTGCCAAAGCACACAGTACATGCCAGTCAGATAAACATAATTACATCGAGCTAGAGAGAGAGGCGAAAATGTACAAGCGGAGAAGCATAGTTACATAAGTGAGGTTAGTGAAAGAATGAAAAGATGTGTGAAGGATATGACTATCTGAAAATTACTGTGAGCTTTCAGGTGACATGGACCTTTTCCTTTTATTATCAAGGGAAGTCCTCAATGAAGTTCAATAATTTAATCAATAGTTCAGTGAAATAAACTTTGTCAGAAGCTCCCAGCATTATTATCTCATCAATATGTTCAAAACGAAAACCAAACAGCATAAACAAGCATGTATACCTGCAAATCCCACAGCCATCACAATGATACTGTTTCTTAGATGTCTGCAACGGAAGTAAACAAATTTGATTCGAGTTAGCAAGTTCATCTCAGCAACTTACGCGACAGAAAAGATATGCAGAATCCTATAACAAGCACAATCTCATTATAGTACACTATACTGAAAGCTGGATGCTGCCAAATTAATCCCTTCATTTCATGGTTAACCAAGCTACTAAGGATGTGACGTTAACCACTTACATCATCATCAAACAGCTTGCAAGACTCACAGAAGTACTTTCCCATGCACACACCACAGTTGATACAAACTTGTTGAACCTAGCCATCACATAAAACAAGTGAAACATGAGTTGAGTAGCCAAATGCTAATTAATAGCACAGGATGAAAACAAAGAATAAAAAGAACTGCCTTAACTTCAGGTTTAGGGAAATTTTTTATCTATTAACTACTATAGCAATGACATAAAGCATGACTATCCAATTTTGACTTCTAAGGTTTCCTATCATCAGCCTTTGCTCCTCTTCCTAGATGTTCTCAATTTAACAGTGACATTTACAAGTTGCAAGCTTGGGATCAGAGGTCAGAACTAGTCTGCAAATGAGAAAAACTAGATGCAACACCAATAATACAAAAACTTAACTCACCTCTTGTTCAGTGCCACAAAGCGAGCATATCACCTGAAAAAACACAAAAGGAGCGCTTTAGCAGACAAAATGGTAATATAACAATGAAGATTTACTGCAAGAAGTCACAAAGGCATGATCAAAGAGAAAGGAACATGGCTACCTGTTTGATTTCATGGCGTGGCATGTCATGTCTACGCTTCTGATCAACATTGATATTGTTCTGCCCCCCAAACATAACAGATCAGCACGTATTCAAAATCACCAAAACATATTAAGCAAATTATCAGCTTGAGCAACATGATCAAATACATAAAGCAATTTTAAATAAAAAGACTCACCTTCGCCTCGTTATGACAATGACGGCAATCAAATACTTCGTTGCAGCAAGGTGCTCTGATGCGGCACCTTCTCCGATAGTGCAGGCATCTGATGACAGAGCACGTCATATTAAGCAAGTAAATGGCAAAAAACTATTGAACTTTGCTAGGCAAACAGGAACAGACCCATACCCATATTCCATTAATCCTTTATCTAGTATTTGAGGAGTTTCCACATTCATTGATTCTTCTGAGAAGATGAGATCTTCATTAAAATGCTGTGAGCACGAGCCCATTTGTTGAAATAGTCTGGATTCTTGAGGATCAAAACTCTTAATACCTACTTCTGCCATGGCAATATCTTCAGGCAATAATAACAACTATTGAGAAGTTGGCAAATAAACCTGGAACACCTGCGCATTGAAACAAATTTAGAAAAGATTCTAAAACTTCAGAAGGCATATTTAGCACCCGATCAAGCCACCAAACACCCCATGAGCTTTCTTGTACACGTCTGCAGATCAATTGAAATCAGCAACAACATAATCCAACTAACGCTGAACAGCTCCAAAGTCCAATCACCAATACTCCAAGAGAAGAATCATCAAAACAAGAAGATATATAAGTACAACTACAATGCAGCATTCAGGAACTCCAGAGCCTTCAGCCATTAGTAAGAATAGCATTGCATGATCATGGTCACTCGAATCCTTGAAGAAGTCCCAGAACCAAAGTCCAGTTACTCTGGACATGGCAACCTATGGTAAAAGCAATACATCACACAATCAAACGTATTCTGAAAAGGAAAAAAAAAAGACGGGGAAACAGTGAGAGAGTGAAGAAATGGGTTATTTTGATCGTCCATCAAGGACAGGCCTACCTCAAATAGCAACTCTGAAACCCAGTCTCCTCTGAGAATTGAACTTACCAAAACTTAAAAAGAAATTCTATCATCAGCACATCAGAGGTTTCCCTTTTGTCAAAGAAAGCCCACTTGAATCTCAGCCGCTCCCTCTCTATCTAAATCATGACCAGGAAAATTATAACTTTATGGGACAAACCATGAAGGAAACTTGCTCCTCTAATTACGAATTTCCCCAGACAAAATAGCACACCTTTCTTCAGACTAAGGACACTGACACTCCCAGGTTCAAGGTATAAACAAGGTTGAAAAAAAGGAGAAACAAACTATCAATTCCCATTGCCCATGTTTCCATCGAAGATAAATGACACAGGGAAACAATCACTTAACTTCTTCTGTAAACAATCTCTAATTCTGTTGGATGAAGAGTACATGTGGAAGTTCCGAGCATGGTGGCTGGTGAAAGGATGATATGACAGACCTAGCTCTAACTGTGGAATGAAGATTCACTGGTGAAGCCATAATCATTATTTTAGTTATTAGGTGTTTCAACCCCCTGCTGCATTGTATGTTTATGTTTAGAAACACGAGAAACAAACAAGTAGCTCTTTGTGCTTAGCTTACACCCCCAAAGCTGGTCATGATGGCATTGTCCACGAAGAACAGGGCATAAAAAGACCTAACTTTACGCAGGCACCTACCAAACTTGAGCACATGAACACCTGCAATTTAGGGCATATCCTGCAGAAAATCCCTAAATATAATGCTACCCCATACATTCACTGCACAACTTCAGGATTACAGAAAGAACCCTCACTACACCAACTTCTCCACCCACAAGATTTCTGAACTCCACTCACATCATTCCTGTAAAACTCCCGAGTAACAAAATGCTAAAAAATAGCAGAAATTACAAAAGAGCCAACACTATTCCAAGCTACATCCCTCCAACAAAATCTTGGAAAGTTAGTCCCATGTTTAGTTAGATATCTTCCAAAAAAGGAAGAACATGATATGAAAAATCCATTTCTTTTCCTTTCCATCAAAATTTGAATCAGTTCACCGCAACCTCAATCTACCACCAAACTATAGACCTAAACTACCTTAAAAACAGTTAAACAAGAGTGCCACATACCCCATACAGAACCTCTCTAAGTTAGAAACTCTCCCCGGGACTTCCACCTTAAGAATATTTAGTTTTGTACGTGTAACATTACTAATCAGTTCACGGCAACCTCAATCTAACACCAAACTATAGACCTAAACTACCTTAAAAACAGTTAAACAAGAGTGCCACATACCCCATACAGAACCTCTCTAAGTTAGAAACTCTCCCCGGGACTTCCACCTTAAGAATATTTAGTTTTGTACGTGTAACATTACTAATCA